TGGTTGGAGGGAGAGGAGGGAGAGGAGGGAGTAGGAAGGTAGGCAGTTCCTACATGTGGACTGAGGCGTACTGTGTGCTGGGACTTGTGCTCTGGTGTTTCACGTTTAGAATTATGATATACAGTTCAAATGTGAAATTCTGTCCACCATTACGTACGGATGAGATATATAAAGAAAAGATTTTGAAGGGTAGGGAGTCTTGAATCTTGTTATCTTTATGAGTCACGACAAAATATTGAATTCAGATTATGTAATTAAGGGGTTATTCAGTTGGTCTAATTATTAGGTGCGGAGGCGTGCCACTGTCATACAGCCGTGATGTGCGACTGTGATGGGAGGACGCGCGTAGCTCTACGTGCACCCTCTGCACGCAATAATCGCTCTATTTAGTTGAAAGCCAGATTTAATTTGAATAGGTTTTAATGAATCCTACAAATCCGAAATTATTAAATTTTGAGGTACGTGCCAAATCTAGAATATGATTTAGTTTGAAAAAAGATAATCACTTTGAAATTAATTCTAAGTTTGACTCGCACAAGAAACTTGAGTTGAAATTAACTTGCTAAGGTACAAGCTAAAATTTTTTATCAGATTTATTTGGAACCTACATCATCTCTCTGTTGAAGATTATTAAATGGTCGAACATTGTCACTGCAGCTACGCCAGCCCTCTCACAGATATATTTGTTTTTTATTTAGTCTCTAAGTGAAAAGTCAATCATAAATCCAAACATCCTCATATCTGCAACTTTTGACAAGATTGCTTACATGCCTTAAAACAGATTCTGAGAATGAAGTATTTCATATGATCTAAAGTGTTCATTTATTCCTCCAATGAGAAATCTAATTTCTATTTTGAAAATGAAAATTTCATGTCCCATCGGAGGAAAAATAAAAACTCTTACATTATATGAAATACTTTCTTTTCAGAATTTGTTTAGAGGAGTAAAAGTGATATCAAAAGAGACGTTGTTGAGACGAAAACACTTTGGTTGATCAGTGGTTTTATGCTTGTAGAGAAAATGTGAAAGAAATATACTCGTGAAAGAGTTGGTGTTGCTATGGTGATAAAAGATTAGAGATAAAATATGGATAATTTTTTACCGATTATTGCTCTCCAACAGCCCTTTACAGCCTCAATAAGCTGTTAATGTTATGGTTTTGTGCTTAGTTGTTGTCGGCTCTAAAAAAATCTGATTCAAAATTAAAATCAGCCAAATTTTGAGCAGTATTTGTTGTTTCGTATTAAGAAAAAGGTAATTCTAACAGTTATTTAGACTTCAGGCTGTCTCTTTCTAATATTGTTTGCATTTGCAACTACTCCAACCCTATCATGGGCATATTTGTTTCGTACTTTATTTTCAACTGTAAAACCATTCATCGAATTAAACATTCTCGTCACCGCAGAACCTTATGCAATTGACTGCACACCTGAAAAAATGTTCTTAGAAGAAAATATTTTATATGATGTAAGATTTTTCATTATATTTTTCTGTGTGAAGTATAATATCAACAACCAGTATAAAAATTCATAAGTTCCAAGATGAAAATTTATATCAAAATCTAAATTTCATTATCACAGTTCTTATTTAAGCAATGGAGAATTAGATTTCGAAGTAAATTCTATTTTGGAACTGATAACTTAGATTTTGATGTGAATTTTTATTTTGTCTTTAAAAATTATACTTCGCACTTGAAAATGCAATGAAAACTCTTACATCATATGAGGTATTTCCTTATAAAAATATATTTCCAGGTGTGTAGTCAATCGCATATGGGGTTTACGACGACGAGTATGCTTAGTGCTATAATTAGCTTTCTATTTAGAAAATAAAATGTAAAAGAAATAAACTCATGCAAGATTTGGAGTAACTATGGTAACAAACAATTTTACATATGAAAATTAATTCCGTCAAAGATCATTATTTGTCAAACATTGATTTACAATCCATTAGGGCAATTCTTTCTAATATTGTATACCACCGTCAAAGATCATTATTTGTCAAACATTGATTTACAGGGCAATTCTTTCTAATATTGTATACCACTGTAGCCATATTAGCATTCACATAGATATATTTCATATGTTGTTTTAAGAGTCTCCACTTCATCATACAATGAGAAATTCAATTTCCATTCTCAAAATGGAAATGTACTTCAAACATTTTTGTTCATGGAATTTGTATTGCCTCAGGACTCCGCAAGGTGAGTTGCTTTCGGAGTCCAATGAGTGGGGTACAAGTGGAATTAGATCCCACAACATATAAAAATTAAAAAAGAAGCTTTGACTCTGCCCGAATCAACTCGGGAAATTTAATAGGTGCGTTTATCGTGAACCCGACCCAAATTAAATCTCGAAACAGACAAAAAACTTACTTTATGTTAGATTCGGCGTTTTTGGAGCCTTTCGTCAGTTCGCATTCGGCTTCTTCCTCCTTCGGCTTCGGGCCTCTTCATCCTTTGGCTTTCTTCGGCACGTTGAACGGCGGTTTGTCTTCGGCGGCAGTGGTTCTCCATTCGGATGGCTGGTGATGGTACTTCATTCAGGTTATAAAGCCATATAACATGATAAAATTGAATTTTGAACTCGTTATAACAAGTTAAACTTGGTATAACACTTGAATTTTGAACAATAACGCAACAATAATGTGGTATAACACTTAAATTCTGCTAAATAACGTGTCAATAATTCGTAATAACACATGTATTCTCAATATAACCCGTATATATTGCAGTATAATAAGAACCCGTATATATTGTAGTATAATAAGATTATTTAAAAAATAATGTGGTTTAATTAAAGTATAACAAGATTTTCGATAAATACACAAGATTTTCGATAAATAACGCGTTATTATATACCGTTACGGCGGAATAACACGTATATGTGTTATATTACGGTATTACGGTGGTATAACACATCGGGAATATTCTTCACGTGTTATACCTCTGCGGAATAACAAGGGGAGGCGTTATAGAAGGTGGAATAACACCCACCCGCGTTATAGGAGGCGGAATATCACCTACCCGCGTTATAAGCGGCATTCTAACCGCAAAATTAGGTAAATATATAAATTAAGTATAAATTTATATAAGTAATATATCAATTTATATAAGTAATATATAAATTAAGTAATATATTACGGTATATGAATTATTATAGGAATTATTCTGAAAATAAGGCGGTTTAATTAAAGTATAACACAAGATTTTTGATAAATAATGTGTTGTTAAATATCCTTGACGGCGAAATAACACTTATCTGTGTTATATTACGATCAAAAAGTCACTTGCTCGTCTTGGGCGGGGTCAGGTTTCGGATGAGTCGGGTCGTCTGTCTTAATTAATTTATTTTACCTTTTGTTGCGGTGGGTGACATAATTCCACGTGGCGAGCTTGCATTCGACTCAGCTTGCATCTTTGCCTGCGGTCTCCGGATGAAAATAAGCGCTCTTGTTCATGACATTGCAGAACATAATGCCTTAAATGAATTTCCATTTTGGGAATGAAAATTGGATTTCTCATTGGATAATGAAGTGAACTCTCTACCTACATCAAATGAGATTTTTTTTTTTTCAGAATTTGTTCAAATGTGTGAAGGTGATCTAGTTAGAAGTTGTCGGGATAAGGATGCTTATGTTTATGATTAGTTCTATGTGAAGGCTAGTCCCTAGAATTGGTTCTAGGGGCTTTCACGTAAACAATCGTGCGGTATTTTCCTTCTTACTTCCCTATTGTCTATGTGTGTGTATCGTTATCCAACACTAAAATGCTAAATTATTACTCTATCATCACCAATCTTTCGGCATGCAGCAACTAATTTCAATATAATTCTACTAATTTTTACGTCATCTTCTTAATTAGAAATTACACAAGCCCAATCACAAATTTCTTTTTATATTTTCATATGTAATATCTAAACTTTCATTTATATACCAACCAAATATTTTATATAGCATAGATGATCACTAATATTAATTTTTAAGAAGTGAAATACTGTTTTTCATGCAAATTTCTTTAAATATACCTCCCAAGTTTTTTAAATTGGTTTATTTTTTATAGTAAAGTACTCCTCTATAATCTGAAAAAATATTACCTCAGGAGTACTGATGCATCAGTATTCTAATGAGGAAACCTCAGGAGTACTGATGCATCAGTATTCTAATGAGGAAGTGTCACGTGGCATTATGGTGGGATCATTGCATACGTGACACCTCCCTACCATACTATTGGAGTACTGATGCATCAGTACTCCTAAGGTAATATTTTTTCCTATAATCTAGGGAATTGGGTTCCAGTTTGATCCTTTCAGAAAATTTTTTTATAAGCAACTTCAGTTTGTGC